CAGGCCGGCATTCCCTCCCTACGGTAAGGGCGGTGCTAGAGCGGAAGACGCACCCTGAAGCCTCTCTCCAGTGTCCGTCCTTCCATTGACGGCGCCATCTGGGGACATGCCATGCCGGGGGCGGGGGTGCGGGGGCCCTGAGGCCCTGCCTGCCTCCTCACTCCCGCCTCTGCCAGGTGACCAAGAACATGGCGCAGGTGACCAAAGCCCTGGACCGGGCCCTCAGCACCATGGACCTGCAGAAGGTCTCTGCGGTGATGGACAGATTTGAGCAGCAGGTGCAGAACCTGGACGTGCACACGTCGGTACGTCGGCCCAGGGCCCGGGTGTGCGGGTGACGGCCAGGCGTGTGGCCCCTTCCCCTCCCGGGAACCTGGCTCCTCGTGGGGAGTCCAGACCGGCCTGCAGAGGTCCAGCAGGGGAGAGGGGGGCCTGGGGCCGGGGATGGGTGCCCGTGCAGGCAGCTGTGCCCCAGGACCGGCACGCCAGAGGGAGTGCGCTGGAGAGAGCGCCACAAGGGGGCTGGCGGGGGGAGGGAGCCACAGGAAGCCCTGACCGGCCGGCACACGACCCCCAGGTGATGGAGGACTCCATGAGCTCGGCCACCACGCTGACCACACCACAGGAGCAGGTGGACAGCCTCATCATGCAAATCGCCGAGGAGAATGGCCTAGAGGTCCTGGACCAGCTCAGCCAGCTGCCCGAGGGCGCCTCTGCCGTGGGCGAGAGCTCCTTGCGCAGCCAGGAGGACCAGCTGTCTCGGAGGTGGGCCAGGGGCACCTGTGCTGGGCGGGCAGCGTGCTGGGCGGGAGCTTGGGAGGGACGCAGAAACCCCGGCCTCGGTGCCTGCAGGCCCAGGAGCAGCTCAGTCCCCGCCTCTCGTTCAGACCCTGCTCACCGTCTATAGCTCCCCCTAGAAGGCGGGGGACAGGACTACGCCGGCCTGGAAAAGGGCCTGGGAAAGCCGGCGTGGAACCATTGCCGGGCCTCAGGGAATCCTGTTGTCGTTTGCAGGTTGGCCGCCCTGAGGAATTAGCGGAGCCCAGCGGCAGCACGCTCCATCCCGGCCTCATAGGGGAAGGGCTAGGAAGCCCGCCTCTGCCCCCTCCCCACTGCTCTCCCCCTCTCACCTGCCAGGCCTGGGACTCTGCCTCTTCTCTGAGCACGGGTGTGGGTCTGTGTCCGGCTGGGCGAGTTTGCACAAACTTCTGACTTCTGTGGGTAATTTCTGTGACTCCGGGCCACCAGCTGGGCGATCTGCAGGCTCCCCCCCGTCCACCACCACTGAGAAACCCCCAGGGACTGGCTGGTGGCTGCCACGTCGATATGGGGGCTTTCACACTCCATGTGATGGCAGATGCACTGGGAGTGGTCAGCCAGTGGGGGTCAGGGCTGCAGGCTGTTGCTAGGGACCCCTGGAGGCCCCCCCACTCCATTTAGAACCTGGTCCTGCCAGCTGCATGGGCCCCGCTCGGGCTCCCCAGTGTAAGGCGCCTAGCTCCCAGTCCAGCGGGCCCCTGGGGGTCTGCATCCTCTCTCCCCTGCGCCTCTGGAGGGCTCGGGCCCTGCGGGGTCTCCTCTAGGAAGCCAGAGTCTACGCTGAGGCCCCTCCCAGCCAAGGAGCAGGCGCCTCCCCCTTCTGGGTGGGATGCTTTGCTCCTGTCACTATAAATGATGGGGTGCCTCCCCCATCTGGCTCTCGCTGCCTTGTGGGCTCACGCTGTTGACCTTGAAGCTGGAGTGGCTGATGGGACAGCCGCCCTCAGTGGGGCAGCAGTGGCAGTGCTTCTGACGCCTTGCTGGGCTGGCCTGAGAGGAGCTTCAGACAGGCTGCACTTTTCTGTTTTCTCCAGTGACTGAAGTTTACTTCGTTTTCCTGAAGTTTCCAGGGATTTTTTTTTTTTTTTTTTTTTTTTGCCAAAAAGAAGGAGCAAGTAGATCGGGAGCATTTGGTATGAACCCCTCCCTAGCGTCAGCTGGAAAGCACTGCTTGTCGGTGCTGACCAGAGGCCTCTGGCTGGCCGTCTGTCCTCACAGCACTGGCTCTCATGGACAGAAATGTGGGAGAACTTTCCCTGGCTCTCTGCGTTTGATTCTTCCTGGACTTGGAGCCCTTGGGTGCTCTGTACAGTAAGTTGTGCTGTGGGCTGCCTGGGGCTCTGGACTGTGGTGTGAGGCCGGAGAGAATGGGGTTCAAGAGCCACCTGGTTTCTCTTCTGTGATGCCGACCTCGCCTTACTCCCTGGCCATCATCCCTTGGGGCTCCCACGTGCCGGGGGTTCAGAGAAGGTCCCCAGGGGGTGCAGAGCTCCACGGAGACGCCTGCTGGGGGCAGAGGCCACACTGCATCAAAGGGCAGCAGGCGAAGTTTGCCTTTTCCTGAAATGCTGTTGTGAATAAAGAGGTTGATGCCTGAGAACTGTCTCCATCTTTGCTTTAGTGGCCTGGGGTGGGGTGGGGGCCTTAAGGGGCCGGTCGGCTTGCGGTCCAGCCCGCCAGTAGGAGGCTGACGGGTTCCTGAAGGAGGGCAGGTGGGGTGCTGTGAGGAGTGGGATTCCCAGGCCCTGCTCGGTGAGGCCGAATCAGATCCACAGTTCCTCTACAATTTTACCTTGAAATACTTTTAAACTTATGTAACAGCTGCAAACCAAGTACACAACTTCTGTATACTTCCGTGTAGGAGCTTCCCTCACATCAACCTAGTTACCGTAGAACCAACCAAATCAGGAAACCGCCCTCACGTTATTACCCTGTGGTCCCTCCAGCCCCGAATGTGGCACAGGCCCTCCCATTTCTCTACGTGACCGGGACGGTCTCGAGGCCAGTGGGTCTGCACCGGTGTGCTCGTGGGAACTGCGTCCGGGCGCCCCCCACCCCGTGTGCCCCAGAAACCGCGTCTGGGAGCCCCCCACCCCGTGTGCCCCAGAAACCGCTTCCGGGCAACCTATGTGTGCACCAGAAACCAAGTCCCTGTGCCCCGCTGTGTGCACCAGAAACTGCATCCGTGCGCACCCCTATGTGCCCCCAGAAACTACCACCGGGCGCCCCTCTGTACTCACGGGAACCACGTCTGGTCACCCCGCTGTGTGCACCGGAAACCACATCGGTGCGCCCCTCTCTGGACATGTGAGCCACGTCAGCGCGCCCCCCTCTGTGAGTGCCGGAACCATGTTGGTGCACCACCCTATGTGCACCAGAAACTACGTCCGGTCACCTTCCCCACAACCCACCGCTCACACGAAGCACGTCTGTGGGCCCCCCTTTGTGCTCACGGGAACTACGTCCGGGCACCCCACTGTGTGCACCAGAAACTACGTCCGGACACACACCAGCAGATACGCACACACACACATACCCCGTGGGCACGGGAACCACAGGTTTGCACTTGTCAGGCCTCCCCCTCTGGGTTACTCCTTGGGCAGGGAAAACCCCGTTTTCAGGTTCTCAGCCCCTGCTCCCCACACAGAGCTCTAGTTTCGGCACTGCTGGCTGCCCCCACCCCCGAGAGACGCCCTTACCCACCAGAGGACTGGGTTTGTCGCAGGCCTTGCCAGGCCCCTCGATGTGTCGTCTCTGTTAGATTATTTGCCTTGTGTTTCACGCTGGTGCTTCGCAGCCTGGATGGTCTTGATCAGTTTTTTGGGGCGTGTGATCCATGGCCAGGGTTGTAGAGTCGGAACCACAGTGGGGTCCATGCCCCTTGTGCCCAGCCCGCCTGTCAGAGTGACCACCTGTGGCTCTGGGTCCCCCTTGTCCCCTCCGAGCACATCTGGGTTTGAACAGGGCCTGGGGCTGCTTGTTGCCTGGTTGGAGAATCGCTGATGTGGGCCCTGCCTGGGGAGACAGCCCTCCAGGGGCTCCTGAGCAGACTCCACGCTGCTGGGTGGGCCCGGGTGTGGCACCCACCTCCCTGGAGCCCCTTACCAGGACCCCCAGGAAAGGCCTGCAGGCCTGTGTCTCCCAGGGTGAATGAGGGGTGAGCAGAAGGGTCCCCAGAACCAGATTCTGGGGATGGCACTTGAGGTGTGGCCTCTGGTGTGATTCTAACGTGGTTAAGATTATTTCAGACGAATATTACAGCGTTTCTTATGGGAAAATCCCTCCCAGTTAGCAAACCTAGGCATGCCCGCCTGCAGCCCACCAGGGGGCCCTCCAGCCCTGATAAATCAGCCAGCCATGGCAGGCAGGCGTGCTGGGCAGGATTCAGCCAACTCAGGACAGAAACCCTTTCTTCTCCTTTAACGTTAAACTGATCCTAAGTGATCAGCAAATACCCACAATGTCCCTGCTGGTGGCTTTAGGTATCCCTGGAGAGAGTGCCTGCTGGGAGAGAGAGGCAGGGCCCCAGCCCAGAGGCCCTCGCTGGCTCCCACGGCCCAGGCTGGCAGGCACCGGTGGGTAATGGCGCAGAGGGGCATCCTCAGGGACTCTGGCCTGGAAAGGGGCCAGCAGGGATGCGTTGGGGGGCTTGTCCAGGGTCTGTCACCAAGTTATTCATCTCAAGACACATGCACCGGATGACCGGTGGCAGGGGGAACGCTACTGAGCCCCCCTTGGGCAGAGCCCTGCCCTGCAGGGTCCTTGTTCATGGTGTGTGAGGAAACCCTGCAGGGCTGGGTTCCTCCCTGCTCCGGACCCTGCTTTCCTGTTTGCCAAGAGAGGCTGGCCCAAGGGGTGGGCCGGGGGCACAAGCGTGTGTGAGTGTGTGTGGGTGTGTATATGTGAGAGCATGGGTGTGCACTGGTATGAGGATATGGGGTGCAGGTGTGCACACGTGTGCATGTCTGTGTGTGTGCACGCACCTGTGTACAGATGTGCGTGGGGAGGTGGCAGCCGGAGCCTGGACTGTGTGTTATTTTAAAGACCCTCCAGCAACATCCACACAAAGCCTCTCAGACCCTGACCCCTCTGGCCCTGACCTTCAGGACTCAGGCACTCCTGTGTCTGGTGTCCAGCCAGGAGCCCCCTCCAGGGCCAGGGTGCTGATGACACGAGACTCAAAGGATCGGCGACTTTATTGAGGGTCCCGCCGTGCCTGTGTTTTGTGTTGCCCAGGGGAGCGCAGGTGCCTGCCCAGGACAGGCCAGTCTGAGCGCACGGGGAGTCGCTGCCGTTCTAGCACCCAGGGCGTCAGAGGCAACACGGGCAGAGGACGAGGAGTGCAAGGGAGGCCAGCAGGGTCCCCGGCTGGAGGTGGAGGCTGGGGGCCCCTGAGTAGCCGTAGCTGGTCCTGCAGGAGGCCTCCAGCTGGCCCAAGGGGATGGGCTCCTCGCCGGGAGCCTGTGTGTGACTGCTCGCCTGGGGAAAGATGCAGGTCAGCTGCCTGCCTGAGGGCAGGAGGTGGTCGGTGGCGCAGGGAGTGCGAGGCCCCTCACCTGCTCCACCGCCTCGAAGACCCTCAGCAGGTTGTCTGCCAGGACGCCCTTGACCTCTGCCTCGGTCCACTGTCTCCTCAGCAGCTCGGCGGCCAGGTCTGGATACTTGGACACGTCCTTAAGCCCCGAGGGAAGCCTGAGATGCGGGTGGAGAAAGCCAGGCTCTGCATCCCAGGGGGCAGGGCCTGGGCGCCCCCACCCCGCCCCTCACACCACGTGGAGGGGGGGTCTCGCCTCACCTGGACACACCATCGTAGTCCCCACCCAAGCCCACGGCTCCGGCCCCCGCCACCTTCTTGATGTGGTCCAGGTGATCTGCGGAGAGGCGGCACGTGAGGGCCCTGCGAGAGGCCCCGGCCCGGAGGCCCGGCCGCTCAGCCCCGCCCACCTGCCACTTGGGACAAGTTGGCCTCCGCTCTGCAGGAAACGTAGTCACTGTAGAAGTTCACCATCACCAGGCTGCCCGTCTGCTTCTGCTCGGGAGAGAGGGCGGCACCGTGGGCAGGGCGGCCAGGCCGCGGGGGCCAGCCCAGGAGCGGACGGCCCCGGCCCAGCCTCTCACCACCAGCTGGAGCACGTCGTCGGGCACGTTGCGCCGGTGCTGGCACACACTGTAGGCCGAGGAGTGGCTGAAGACCACGGGGGCCTTGGACAGCTGCAGCACGGCCTTCATGGTGGCCATGGACGCGTGGGCCAAGTCGATGATGATGCCCAGTCGGTTCATCTCCTTCACAACACTCTGAGGGGGGACGGGGCTCAGGGGACCCGCACAGCCTGGAGGGTCTCAGCCAGCACCCTGGGACCAGACAGGCTGTGCCGTGCACGCTTGGGTTCACACGACCTTCTGGGGTTTCTGGCGGCCGCCTGGGAAGTCCAGGTGTGGGGAAGGGCACTGGCCAGGTGTTAACAAGCCCTTCAGGGGCTGAAAGACTGGAGGCCACTCTAATGACCAGTGGGTTCCAGTGGAAGGCCCGTGCTGCTGGCCCATCTCACAGTTGAGGAAACAGGTGACATGCCGGGTCCTCTGAGGGTGACCGAGGCCCCGCCCCCCCACTCACCTGCCCAAAGAGTGACAGGCCTTGGCTGCGGGCCTCGTCCACTCCCGTGTCCACCAGCCAGTTGTCGGCCCTGGGAGAGCAGAGGGCAGGCGCCCGAGGGGCAGAGTGGTTGCCCGGGCCCACCCACCTCAGGACCCTCAGAAGGAGAGACAGGTGCTGGGGCTGTCCCTGCTCTGAGACCCTCCCGCCCGCCCGGCCCCCCGGGGCTGCTCACCAGGGCGTGTTGCAGCTGTGGGTGAGAGTCAGGTACCGCATGCCCAGGTGGTAGAGCGCCCGCAGGACGCCCAGGCTGCTGTCGATGGAGTGGCCGCCCTCCACGCCGACCAGACTGGCCACCTTTCCCTCCCGGAAGGCCTGCCGGATGCCTGCAAGGAGAGCCCAGCCAGGGGCAGTGGGCACCGGGCGACACGTGTGCCTGGGTGTCGGGTGTGGGGACTGGCTTCCACATGAAGCAAACCGCAGAGCGGCGCAGCAGCCCCTGCTCAGGACCAGGGCTGGTGGGCGCCGGCACCCACCTGTGCTGTCGGTGACACACAGGAAGGTCTCGGGGTACAACCAGCACATGCGGTGGATGACGTCGATCTGCTCCAGCGTCCTCTTCACGGCATCCTTGTTCTGGGTGTCGCAGGGCGTGTACGCAGACCAGAACTGGGGGGGGTCACGGGGGTAGGCGCTGGGAGCTCAGGAGCTGGGCCCCAGGCACACGAGCTCTGGCTTCCCTCCAGCCACAGAAGCCCTCCCCGCAGCCTGAGTGGCTATCGGAGTCCCCTCTAAGGCCCCGGGGCAGTACGCCGCCACCAGGGAGGGGCAGCAAGAGAGGAGGTGATGGGCTCCAGCGCCTCAGGCTCCGGGCCCGACCATACCTGGGCACCCACAAAGCCAGCCCTCAGCTTGGGGATGTTGGTGTGCGTGTGGACCAGGCTGGTCAGGTTGGCCCTCGGGTCCTGAAGCTGATTGTTGAACAGTTTCAGCAGCTGCCAGGGCAGGTCATTGTGCCTGGAGGGGCCAGGCGGAGGGGTCAGGGGCAGGTCAGGATGGCCCCTTGGACCCGGGCCCCCCGAGCTGCCTCCCGGGCAGGCTGTCCCTTCTCCAGCTCCTCTTCTCATGGGCCGAAGACTAGGGAGGTCGCAGGGTGACTGCTGTCATCTGAGCACACCTGAGCACAGGTGAGCTTCTCAGCTGGCCGCACCCCCAGGCCAGGCAACTGAGCTGAGCCCTAAGTGAACAGGTCTTCCCTCCCGGAGCCTTTCACTGGGGGGAGAGGGAGGGCAGATGCCGGCTTGGCTTCAAAATCGTGGAGGTCGGGGGAGCTTGGAGTTGAAACAATCTCCACGAACAAGGCTGGTTGACATGGGGTTGCTGAGTGCAGGCCTGGGGGAGATTCACAGATTAAAGATGAAATCCTGGGTTTCCCTGGTGGCTCAGTGGTTGAGAGTCCGCCTGCCAATGCAGGGGACGCGGGTTTGTGCCCTGGTCCTGGAAGATCCCACGTGCCGCGGAGGGGCTGGGCCCGTGGGCCATGGCCGCTGAGCCTGCGCGTCCGGAGCCTGTGCTCCGCAATGGGAGAGGCCACAACAGTGAGAGGCCCGCGTACGGCAAAAAAAAAAAAAAAAAAGATGAAATGCTTCTGCTGCAGGGAGAGGGTGGGGAAGTGTGGGGCGTGGCCTACCCTGGGGGGCAGCCATGGGAGCAGGGCACCAGTGAGGGATTTGGGGGCCCCAGAGGCCCTCTGCTGCCTCTGTCCCTGGGGACAGTCCTGCACCATTTCCAAGAAGATACCTCTGTGCTTCCAAAGGACAGGCCCTCTGAAGTTCTCCCAGGAGCCGGTAGGCGGTGAGTGCATTAGAGGAGGAGGTGAGGTGTGGGTAGAGGAGAGGAGGTGACTAGACAGGCAGGACGAGGGGCAGGGGACAGGTAGGGCTCTCAACAGCTGCTGGGGGTCTTCCAGGGCAGGACCCATGGGGCACATTCCTCCCTGCATCCAGGAGCAGCCCCAAGGGGAGAGACCACTGGGAGCCATAAGCTCCAGGTGCCGGCAGGGGCCTCGGCCCCTGGGAGCTGATTAGAATTTCAGAGTCTCAGGCCCAGCCCTGGCCCACCAGTCCGCATCTGGCTTTTACCAGCCAACGGGCACACACGCCCGGGACATGCAGGGAGCCGACCAGCGGATCCCTAGCCTGGTGACAAGGGGGCTGTGAGGACAGGCCGGAGGGGGCTTTGCTCCCACTGCGGGCCCTCCCATCCACCCCTCCTCCCCAGCCCAGCAGCCATGCCCACTCTCCCCAGGACCCTCGCCCACACCTAGTTCCCACCCCCAGCCCTGGCTCCCTCCCTGGTGTCTGTTTCCTCATCTGTAACACACACACACGAGGCTGCCTTGTGAGGGTCACTGACAATGTTAACACCGTGACGGCCTAGGTCGTCCGGGCCCCTGGGGTGGGCTCTTCCACAGCAAGGTGGCCATGGCCCCTGGTGGGAAGTGAGGGCTCCCTGGGCCCCACACAGGGCTCCAGATCCTGGAGGGAAGTTGCCCCTGGTCTCCTGAAGAGCTCCTGCCCCAGCTGTGAGGTTTGACTGCTGGGCATGGGCTGGTGGTCAGGACGCCTTTGCTGACTGAGGGGTGGATGAGCTCCAGGGAGGCGAGGTCACTGCCTCACTGCAGAGTTGGGGCGGGGGCTGGCCCTGGTCACTGTCCCCAAGGCAGCGCTGAGCAGGACTTCACTCCTTTGCCCCTCGAGGAAATCCAGCCCCACGCTCCAGCTGCCTCCACTTTGCTCTTCCCTCCTCGCCTCAGCCTGTTCTCCCTTTGTAGGTATCCGCGCTAAGGTCAACACCACATCCTGGAGTCTGTTCTGGAGGCTGACGGATCTACCCTCCTTATCTGTGTGGCCTGGGTAGCATCCTCAGCTGTGATAGAGGACCCTGCCACCCTACCCAAAGAGGAGAGGGGAGGATTCCGAGTGCTGGGAAGTGCTAGAAACGACAGCCAAACACACACTTAGGCCAGCTATGGCTTACAGATGTGATGGCTGGAGCTGGTGCAGCCATATTAAATCATGAGGTAACTGTGGGAATGGTGGCCACACCATTATGGAATGCCGTGCCAGGACTCCGTCCGGACTTCCCTGTTGTTGAAGCTACTTATTTGGGTCTCTCTTACCCACAGGAGTAGCTAATACTAACTGGTTTTGATTCTGTCAGCCTAGTCTTGGCTTTCTAAGACTTTGGATAATCCCAGCTCCCCAAATCCCAGCTTCCTGAGTACTCCTGGCTGTCTGGGCTCTTTGAGCCATCTTACCCTCACATGGACATCTGGACAGCTCCCAGCACCTAAACTCGGAGCCCCTCTCCGTGTGCCCACCCCCCCTGAGTCCCCCGGAAGGAAGGAACATTCATTTTGTTGGCATATTCTACCTGCCCTTGCTGGCCTGGGATGGCTGGTCCCTGAGCCCAGACCTGCCAGACAGCAGGGCCTCCCGGATGGGAGCAAAGGACAGCGGCCTCTGCAGCAAACTTCCTATGCCTGTGAGGAGGCCCAGCCATGTGAGGACCCTCAGAGGCAGGCAGGGGGATGGGAGGTCCAGGAAGAAGGGGGAGGGGAGGGACCAGGGGAGGACTGAGGGAGCCCTGACCCCCGCACTCTGACCCCTGATGGCCGCCTCCTTATCTAGGGCTGCCCCTCATTTCCCTGCCAGTCTTATGTGATGAGACACCTGTTTTCTCTGCTTTTCTTGCAGAGCTTTTGTCCCATAAAGCCTGGGCAAGTGGGTACCCCAACTTTCCCAGCACCCGGTGGGAAAGAGCAGGTGGGGCGGAAGTGTGTGTGTACAGGTGGCGTCCTTCCCAGGGCTGGGAGAGCCCCGAGGAGTTGGGGGCAGGAGCGGCAAGGGCAGTGCCAGGCCTGCCTGCAGCGTCGAGGGGCCCTGAGGGCCGCTGGAAGGCTCCGGCTACTGCTCTGAGCTCTGTGGGAGTTGGAGCTGGAAGGGCAGGGGCTGGTACTTGTGTCTCCAAGACTTCCTCTGGCTGCAGTGCGGAGACCTGACCTCAGGCCAGGGGCAGGAGGGGGCAGTCAGAGGCACAGAGGCGGGGGTGGAGGGTAAGTGAAGGGGGCAGGCGCGGCCAGGTTGGCTGTGATATCAGGGAGAGAGTGACAAGGTGTCACCAGGGTCTTGGCTGGAAGAGGGGCAGGGGGAGTGGGCACCCAGGAGCTTGGCCTGGGGCACTGAAGCATGAGATGCCTCGGTGAGGTCAAGCCGGGCGCACAGGCCTGATGGGGTCACCCCAGGTGGATGGAGCGAGGGGTGGGCTTGACGAGCGGGTCCCCCAAGGGCCACAGCAGACGCCACCCTCACCTGCACTTCCTGTGACACAGGACCCTGGGCCAGGCCCCAACAGCCCCCAGCCCCAGCCCCACTCTGAGCTGGGATCCAGCCCCCAGGGGTCCAGGCTGTGGGGTGTCCCGGGAGCTGCTGAGGCCTTGGGGGCCTCACTATTCACCTCCTTCCTGCCGCGTTCCCCACAGGCCCTCATGTACTGAAGTCTCTGGGGCCCTGAGAGAGCCCACAAAAAAACTGAGTCCAGCAAAGGGCAAAGGCCATAGTGCAGTTGGAGAAACTGAGTCCCATTGGAGACAGGGCAGCTCCTGTCTCAGGTCAAGGGCACATGAGCCTCGACCCTAGCGCCCCCCCGCCCGGACCCCCGGGCCCGTCACATGGGTGGCTGCTTACCCGTCAATGACAGGCGTGCTCTGCATGATCCTCTCCGCTGTGTCCCGGAACTGGTCCGCAGTGCAGACGGCCACCAGGGGCCAGAACCACCAGCTGGCCCACATGGCGCGGTCCCCAGGGATGCGCTCCCCTGCTGCTCCTGTGCGTGTGTCCTGACCCGCCGTCCTGGGCGCCACAAGACAGAGGGCTTTGGTCCAGGTGATTGTTGCCAGGACCTCCCCTGTTTATCAGTAATCAGCACATTCCCCGCAAGGGTGGATCCATGGGAGTTCCTAGCCCCTGAGGCTGGGCGTCGCTGTCTGGGCCAGGCCAAGTGTAGTAAAACCCCAGAGGCGGGACTGGTGCCCAGAAGTGGGGCAGAGGGTGGGCTAGCGCAGGGAAAGGGGCCGCCAGTGTTTGTTGTGTCCTGCCCCCAGGACCCGGTGTCTGAGGTCTACAAACGAGATTCAATTTTGTGTACTTGAATGTATCCCTTTGTTTGCCTGTAGTTTTTTGTTACTTTTCTTGGAAGGTGGAGCACAGCCTGGCAGGGGCACTCCTGCCACACTCCACTGCAGTGCTGGGGGCGTCTGCACACTGACCCACGCTCCGGCTGCAGGCTTCTGACCGAGCATGTTGGATGCTGGGGCTTGGGGTCGGAAGCTTAGAGCGTTTGCATTTCCTTAGAGCTGGGGGCGCACACTCAGGTCTCCCGGGGGAGGCAGGGGCTGGAGGGTGGGGGGCACGGTTCTGAGAACCAGATGCCCAGGCAGCGCCGGGCCCAGTGAATTGTGAATCCCGGTCCCAGGGCTGGGCCAGCATCCAGGGTTCTGCTGGGCAGCTGGGTGACCCCACCCCACTCTGGATCCTCAGGGCTGCTGAGCTGTGGAGACCCTACCCCCTCGCTGGGCTCCCTGGCACCTCTGTCCCTGGATGGCTTTGGACCCTCACACAGACCTGCCCTGTGGAGCCCAGGTCCCAGGCCGGTGGCCTCCCCGAGCCCCGACCCGGCCCCAAGGACAGGATGGGCCCAGCTCCAGGCCCTTTCTCCCGCCTGGGAAGGGGGTCACGTCCGAACCCTGGCTCTGCCGTCATTAGCTCTGCATCCCGGGGCCTGGGCCTCCAGCCCCGTTTCCCTCCTGTTGAAACGGCAGCTCGCAGGGGAGACTGCGCAGAGCGGGGAGCTGCCTACCTTCCCTCCCTCCACCCAGCATCACTCCGGGGGGAGGGCTCCGGGGCGTCCTCCACCCAGATGCTAGGGGACGAAGCCGCCGGCCCCAGACCCCATCGAGGACTTGCCCCCGCTCCCCGCAGGGGCATCCTCAGTGCCAGGCCCTGGGATGCCACCCTCTTCACCATTCTGTGCACAGAAGGCCCCTGAAGGCTGAGGGATCCAGGACTCTGACCGCGCTGCCTGGGGACTGGGCCCGGCAGGTGCTGGGCCAGGACACGGGCTTTAAAGCCGAGTATGTCCCTCCGCCACCCCGAGCCAGGACCCCGTCTGCCCTTCGCACTGTCCCCATGGCCCCAGCACCTCGACGGTCCTCCGTGCTCTGTGTCCAGCCCCCTCCAGCTCCCCGGCCTGTCTCTGTGACCCGACGCTGCTGCTTTGTGGTGGGCGATGCCCGTCTGCAGCTGGGGGGCTTCTCCCCGGAACCCTCCTCTCTGACATGGCTGTGAACACACGTCCCCCCTTGTTCACACCGGCCTGCTCCATTTGACTCTACGTATTTTCAACATTTTCCCCTTATTGTTTTTGTTTCAGAGTTGGCTTTTTTTAAGAGCATGTAATTGGATATTTTTTAATTTTCTTTTTTTTTTCATGTGGACCGTTTTTAAGGTCTTTATGGAATTTGTTACAATGTTGCTTCTGTTTTCCGTTTTGCTTTTTCGGCTGCCAGGCTTGTGGGCTCTTAGCTCCCGGACTGGGGATGGAACCAGCACCCCCTGCCCTGGAAGGCAAAGTCTTAACCCCTTGACCGCCAGGGAAGTTGCAAGAGCATATAACTGTATTTTATTTCTTCACCTCATCTGAGCGCCTCTGTCTGTAAATGTGACCGTTTAAGCCAGTACGACGGTGACAGCACTGCATCCCCCCTTAGCCTCGCTACTTCCCAAGCTACGGCCGGCCGTGCTCCTCCCGTTTCTTGCTTCTGCCGTGCTCTTCGTGTTACTTTGATTCCTTTCCTACCATGGTTAGAAAGTTCCTCTGCGTGTCACTACTTTGCTAGTGTCTTCCCTCATACTTTGTAACACTCGTATTTATGTCTGTGTGTCTCTTTCAACATATAAACTCCTTAATACTGGAGTACAGCCCACGGGGCGTGACATTCATTTAAATGTAACCACACATTTTCTTAGGTTTGCTGTGTCTTGTATACTTTGTCTCCTCCTCTCCTGAGATAGTCGTTCTGATTTCTTTCTCACTTGTCTGCGGCGCTTCCTCGGCCATTTCCCTGGGTATAGTGGCATCCTGTGTGATCCACGTGTCTGCTTCCGTGGCTGAGGGGTCCCCGCAGCAGACTGCTCCTTTGTGAGCACGTGGGCCCTCCAGGTCTGCCAGGGTAAAGTTCTCCTTTACCCCTTCCACCCTCCCCAGGTGGCTCCATGGGTTTGTCTCTTTAAATCTCCCGGACACTTAATTTTGACCTTCTTTTCATTTTAAATTCAGAATTCATTTAATTGCTTAAAGGATTTTAAATTCTCTGCTCATTCCTCTGTAATACTTCATTCGTTTAACAGCCCAGTGGAAAGGAAGGAAGTGGAGGGGCTCACGGCCCAGTTGCACTGCAGGAGGGGGACTTTCAGTGTTATTTTCTCGTTGTCGCCGTGTCACAGAGGGACGGGCCCCCCACCATCCACTCTGCACGTCACCTACGGACTCTCTCCTCCCTGGGGTGAGATTTGGCCCCAGCCTCCCACCTCTGCAGCTCAGGTGCCCGGGCCGGGCGAGGGCAGGGAGAGCGAGGCACCGTCCTGGGGGCAAATTTCAAAGCGGGGACACTAGGAACCTCAGTCACGGAGATAACTAGTATTTTAACGCAATATTTTTAAAAATCAAAAATTCCTGGCCCCCCAAAAAATCCATGATGAACGAAATGTGAAACTTTTAGATAGAGTCAAGGCCACGTCTGCCCTTTCCTCTGGTCCCAGCTCCCCCCGCGGTTCCGCACAGCTGGTCTCACCGGGCCATTCACATTAGGTTTCGTGACATCAGCTGTAGAACGCTCTTGCAAGTTGGTGACAGAGGCCGGCGTTCCTAGGAGCTAAGCTGAGGGCGTGACCACACTTCCCAGGGTGGCCCGAGCATGAGAAGACTCAAGGCTGGGTGCACCCTTGTTCAAGCAGGAGAGGATGTCCAGGACGACGGACCCGGAACATGACACCCAGAGGGCCCAAGTCCACGTCCAGGAGGGCTCGTGCTGTGCAGCGTCTGTTCCACACCCTCTCTCTGGTGACTCACAGCCTGCGGCTGGCCGGGGTGCGCAGGGTCGGGCTGCTGTGTAAGTGCTCACACGCCTCAACCGCAGCGTCTGTCTGGAACACAAGTCACCGTGGTACCTCCCACTGGGACCACCACCCTATGGACCCGCGGGTCAGGCCCCCGAAATGACCCTTGAACCTGTGTGCTCTGGAGTCTGGGGTCTCTGGTTGCCTTTTTTTCCTTCCACTGGGTGCTGTTACCATGTCCTCACAATCTTCCCAGCTCTGGGCCTCCTACCTCACCGCCCCTGGCTTCGGATCTATGGTTCCCACTTAATTTCTGCCCTGAGCCCTCTGCCTTTCAGTTTATGTCCTTTTTGGTAGAGCTGGTCCCCAAACCACCGCTAGCAGTGGGTGTGCGGGAAGTGGATTTCCAAGTCCTGGAGCGTTTGCACGTGACATTATTATGCCCTCATAACTGAGCAGCAGTTTTACCGGCCATGCAGTTCAGGGTCATAAACCGTTTCCTCTCAGAAAGTGAACGTTCTGGGGCCGTCCGCACCGCGCTGCTGTCGGGAACCCAGTTCTTTGTAGGCGGCGTGTTGCTTTCTTGCACAATCTCCTTGAATCCCCTCTTTCTCCGTGGGCTCTGCACTTTCTCAGTGTCGTGCCTCATTGGAGACTCTGTTTCATCCGACTGCCCTGCACCCACGTTCACCAGCTCTGCCTCTGGTCCCGGGACACGCCCTGGAATCCCTTCTCTCCTGCATCCTCTTTGCCCACTCTCCTGGGCACGGGGCTCAGTCAGATGCTGGACAACCCGCGTTGATCCTTTTTGTCTCTTGTGTTTTTCTCTCCTGTTTTAGGTTTCCTCGTGCTTTTATTCTATGCGTTTCTGTTCTGTGAATTTATGAATAGAATAGAAATTCTGTTCTTTGAATTTATTCTATGAATTTCCTCAGTTCTGAATTCGAGCACTTTTATCCAAAGTTTTCTTTCAGGAATTATATACTTAATCTCCCAAGAGGGCTTTCTTGTGTTTCTGTTGGTGGTGGGGCTTTTTTTTCCTTTGCACCTTGTTCTTGTTACAGAAGCCATATTGTCTGATATCAGTGAGAAGTTTTGTTTCCTCCTGTTTACTGGATGATAATGTTTCCTCTGGACCTTTTTTTTTTCCATTGTTTATCTGGACCTTTTTTTGCATGTGCAGGCTGTCCTCAACCAGCTGGAGGTCTTTGTCACTTCAAACGTAATATTTAAGGAGGTAGCAGTAGCGAGGCCGCTGTGCTGTGGATACACGGGCAGCCTCCCAGGTTCAAGAGGGGGGCCGCCATTACAGTGGGGGCCCTTAATGTCAGCATCTAACATGACCATATCAATAGCAACCCTGATTCTCAAAACAAATGGTTTTTTAGGGAAGGACCCACTGGTGTCTTTTCCCCCAGAGTCAGCCTGGCCGTGGGCCAACCAGGGTTGTGCGTTTGGGTACTTGGGCACTGGGGGTCAGCTGGTCCACGATCCAGCCGTCCACAAGCCCGATTTCAGCCACGTATCTCACTCCCACCCCCTCCCGTGACATCTGAACTGAGTTCCTCTCCGATTTCTGCTGGGTGGCTGCCGCCTGCCCACCTGCCGCCCCCTCTGTACATGTTCCCGAAGGGGCCACCTCCGTCCAGCTTCTCATCCCCAGAGACAGGCTGAACCTGCCTGCTGAGGATCCTTCCTTTCTCTGACACAGCAGGTTCTGCTTGAGTCAAGTCCTCCCACCTTGACAGACATGGCGAGGAAATGTCCATCCCAGGCCGACCTTCTGACCTAGAGGATGCAGTGGGTGTCGCTATGGAGGATTCTCACAGGGTTTCTGCTTCTAATTCCTGTTTCTTCCTCTTGTGCTGGTAGCTGGCACCCAGGGACGTGAGCCTCAGGGACAGAGCCGCGGCCCGACGGCCTGGCCCAGGTCCTTTGATTTCAGAGACTGGCTCTCAGGAGGTGGGAACAGGCTTTGTTAAGAGCACGAGCTTGGAAACCAGGCCACCCTGGGTTCAAACTCCCGTGTGGCCAACTGCGTTTTCCTCAGCCGGCAGCCCCCGCATCTCCATCCATGCGCCCTCCTAATTGTCCGCCGAGAGGGGGGACACTTGGCTTGACCCGCAGAGAGAAGGTGGCAGGCTTGACTTCCGTGCTGCCGCCTGGCTCCTGTGCTGGACACTCCGTCGGGAAGGCAGCCACCAGCCCAGCTCCCTGCCGGCTGGCTGACCGCCGGCCCCCCTGCCAGCTCCCGGCTGAGGCCGGATCCGCGGGCCAGAGACCAGCTGGCCCCGCCGGGCCCGGAAACGTGAGCGATGGGAGCCCGCCGAGGACATATTGTGCGGCGGCGGGGAGCTGACCCGCTGACCCTTCTCCCACTGCCGGTGACCAGTGTCCTGGTCTATAAAATGGGGTGAGTAAGCCAAACCGCCTCGGCCTCCTGGAGGTGGCTGCACCCCACAGTCGCCTTAGTAACGAGAAGCCCCACATGGGTGGCGGCCGAGGACACGTGCTCTCCCCGGCGGGTCCCTGGGAGGACGCCCGAGCCTTGCAGCCAGCTCAGCTCTCAGCGGGGCCGCTTAATAGTTTGCTTTAAGGCATTATCACTTTTTACTTAAATAAGGAGAATAATATCATTAACTGGAAACGTCGTCACTTGCCGTAAACAGAAGGAACACAGGAAAATAAACACACAAAAACTAAACGGTGCTGTTCAGTTTCGCCCAGAGCCACAGAGAGGCGGCAGATTCCGCGTCCAGGGAGCAGTCAGGGCCCAGCTGGATCCTCACACACCCGAGGCCCCTGCACGGCAGGGCAGGCGCTCACCCGAGCTCCCAGGACCAAGATTGGGTCCACCGAAACTGCCCCCACCCACGTGGGCCGGGCTGTCAACCAGCCAGGAGGGACCAGAGCCCAGGCCCCGACACAGCCCAGAGCAGAACGGAGGGCCTGAGTCCACAGCCCACATCCCTCAGGAATACACACGCTATGTGCGTGAGCAAACACACAGAGAGACGTGCAAACACAGCCAACCACACACCCACGCAGGCTACAGAGCACACCCACATCCAATGCACAGTTACACAGGTGTACACGCACAACCACCCGTGTGCAGACGCCTGTGCCCCCAGAGACACCAACACAGAGAACGTGTAGACACACCTACCCGTGACCCCCATACCTGCACACGTACGCACCTGAACATCGCACACGAGAATGCTCAGACATGTCCCATACCTGCATGTGCAGACACAGCACATGCTTACAAGTACACACATGCAGACTTGTACACGTGATCAGCACATATGCAGAGATGCAGACGTGCACATACAGAGACACGCATACTTAGCATGTAAATATAAGCGCACACACTCAGACATAAGTACAAAGATGTGACACACACTCAGACATAAGTACACAGATGTGATCACACAAACACACTCAGATGTAAGTACAAAGATGTGACCACACACTCTCACCAGGCCTGTCCTGTCACATACACAGCACACAACACACACATGCTTAGCCTTGCAGACGTGTCATTGTGCCCACCCGGTCCCCATGCCCACCTCGGGGCCAGCAGCCATGCCCTCAGCCCATGACCACCCACAGAGCCTGGCACACGACTGCCCCTGGTGGGTTGTGGGGTGTGTCCTAGGAGGCCCTGGGGCACAGACAGCTTCAGACCCGGCTACATCTGGGTTGGGCTGTCCTCAGGCCCCTCAACCATCCACGCCCAGCCATGAAGCCACCACCTGGACCTCTGCCCCCAGATCCTCACTGCCCAATTTCCTCACGGACGACACCCCGTCCACCCAGCCCCCGGAAGTGGCCTTCAGGCTGGTGGCTTCTCCACCAGCTTCTCCACAGCTCCCTGACCCAGGCGGCCCGCGGTGGCAGGAGGAGACGGCCATCCTGCAGCCCAGACAGCACAGTGCCGGGCTCCCCACGAGGCCTGGGGCTTTGTTTCTGTTTTTCTCAAGTTCCATCTACCCCTGAGCTCCGCAGGCGGCCTCACCTCCCTCACACAGAACAGCAGCTCCCCCGGGGGCCTTCTCGACACACCTCAGAGCACGGGACAGAGGGCCGAAGGCCGCACACGTGTCAGCTGGTCCGCATTTCCGCAGACACGTGAGCCAGGCGTGCCCGGCACACACGGCCCACTGGGTCTCAGCGCCCTCTGACCCTTGGGCTGGGCCTCGGGTCTCGGGCCGGGGCTGGGCTGGGCACCGGGCAGTCGGGGGTGGGGGCCGCCTCCGGCAGGCTGCTGGCATCGGTGGGAGGGCTGAGTTAGGAGCTGTGGGGAGGAGGCTCACAGGGGACACCTGGGGCCCGGGCCCCTCCCGCTTGGCGCACAGCATCCCAGGCAGCGGGCAGCCTGTCACCTGAGGGCCTGGGATTCCACCCCTGCCCACCGCCCTCACTGCTGGGGTGGAACACCGCCGTGTCTCAGGGCTGCAAGGCATCCTCAGCCGGGCCCAGAGGCTGGGGGCCCTGGTTTCTATATATGTAACATCCCCAGCTACAGGAGTGTCAGAGCAGTCAGGGATCGGAATGTCCTCTGGCAGAGACACGGGACTTCCAAACCCAGGGGAAGGTCTGGGTGGTGACCCGGCCCAGCTGGGGGCTGGCTGCGCTAATTGGTTTCAGGGTTCTGCGGTTAGCGTGGGAGGTGGGGAACAGCCCGGTCAGCACTGGCAGGCACCTGGCAGTCCCATCGCCATCCGGGGAGGGCATACACAGCTGGTCACACCCTGGCTCCCCGAAGCCCGGGCGGGGGCACAGTGGGGCGTGCACAGCCGCACTCCCGCCTGCCCTCTGCCCTGGCCCCCTCCTGGGCTGCAGACACCGACTCTGAGTGGGGACAGCCCCCTAGTCGGGGCAGTGCTGTGATGAGCTCAGATACCAGAACTGCGAGGAAAGGGATGTGGCTGTGGGGCCCGGGTCGGGGGCTCTCCCGACCTCAAAGTTCAAGGAGATCCAGAGTGTGAGGAGGGGGTGGGGATCTAAGCAGAGGCTGCAGAGCTAGGAGGTCCCCTGCTGAGGCTCTGGAGGAAATCCACTCCCTCGACCCTCCCCTTCCCGGGTGCAGGGTGAATGGCACCGGGAGGGGAGGGCCCGGGAGGAGAGCCGGGTCAGGGTGGAGAAGGGCTGAGTGTCCCCCCCGGGCACTGCGGACCAGGGCCGGGGGAGGCAGCCAGGTGCAGCCCCTCCCTGGAGGACGACGCCCCAGTTCCACATGTGGGGTGGCACCACTCTGGGGGCACCACGGCTGGAGAGCAGAGCTTCCCCACTGGGCCTGCCCGGGCCCTGGCATAGCGGGACAGCCGGAGGGCCAGAGGCACTGAGGACAGGGTGTGGGAGGGAGGTTTCTGCTTTTGATGTTATTACTCTTTGTACTGTTTGGAAATGTTAGCATGTGCATTAACATGGAAAAATCAAATTAATTAAACCAGAGACAGAGGGTTCAAGCGGGCTCTGCACAGAGATGGGGGTCTGGGCACCTTAGGGCCCCAACCCAGCCCTGAGCCCTCCGTTCACGGGGGTGTCAGGTGAGACCCTACATGCAGGCTCAGGCTCCCCCCTCCCCCCACCCCCACCGTGCAGCTGACCGGTCAGGAGTCCCCAAGGGAGGAGGCTCAGGGACTGCCAGCAAGTGTGTGGAGCCACGTCTACTACACTGCACCCTTCCTGCTTTCACACCTGTGACCCTGGGGGACACATCTGTCCTTCTGAAAGTCCCCAGAGAGAAACCACGCCTAGTCAGGCTGAGCCTGGGGAACATAACGTTCAGATGGGTGAGTCAACAGTAATCTCCAGGGGATGCCCCTCGAAGAGGCTTCCTCAGGAGGCCTGGGGTCAAAGGGCGCACACCGCCACGGCCGGCTGCCCTTCCTTCTGGGGTTGGGGTGCCCTGGGCCCCCAAACACTGTCCAGCATGGTCCAGCTCACAGAGCCGGCACCTGGGCCTGGCAGGGGGACATCTCCATCTGTCCCAGGGTGGCTGCTGGGGCCTGGGAAGGGCTGCCAGGCTCAGACAGAGGCCGCGTGGCTCGCAGTCAGAACCAGGCTGTGTGACGCTCGCTGACATTCTTAGTCTTGCCTTTGCCACGGTCTGGCAGGATGTGTGATGGGCAGGGACTCCCCGTTTGTTGCCCCCGAGGCCCCATCCTCACTAGGTTTGGTTTGTCTCACTCCCTGGTGTGTCCTCAGCTTCCAGGACAAGCCAGGACCACAGAGTGTGTGGCAAAGCAAAGGCGGGCACAGGGGTGGGGGCAGCCTCCAGTGGGCTCCCTCCTCCAGGCTGGCCTCCGGGCTCCTCCCCTCCTGCGCCTGTGGCCATTGGATGAGCTCCTGTGAGGGACACCGGGCCTCCTGTTGGCTGGTGGGCTTCTGTATTTGAGCATGAGACATCCCAGGAACATTTAGACAGTGCCCGAGGGCCCTGCCCGGGGCTGCCAGGCCACCCTCCCTGTGGGCCTCGCAGGCAATCCCGAGGCTGGGAGCGCCTTCCGCAAGGGGGGTAGGTCTGGGGGCCCCGCCAGCTGTTCCTTCAGCATATCCCTGTCCCTGCAGAGGCCCCCGTCCTGGGGCGCCGCCCGTTTACACCCCCTGTCCAGCATAGCAATAGGGAAGCCGTGGCCCGGCCGCCCCGCCCCAGGGCAGGGTAGTCACTGGGCGGAACCAGGCCAGGGCAGGCGAGGGCCTCCCGCTGGGGCCGGCCTCCCTCCCTGAACTGTAGGATGGGGACAATGGTGCCCGACACAGGGACCCTCTAGATTTGAAGGAGACGCTCGTGTGAAAATGCTCAGGGTCTCTTAAGCGCTGTGTGAGGGCCGCCCTGTCCTGTCTGTGAAAAAGGCCGGGAGCCCCAAGCTCAGCCTGAGGCTGGTGGACACTCAGGGGTGAGGCCAGGGGCTCGGGTCCCCCTAGGGCCTCCCGTGGTCCTCAGACCCACACCCCGTGACATGGGCCCCAGGTGGCCCTGGCAGCTGTCCCCACCCCCGCCCCTCCACTGCTGCCCTCTGGTGGCCGGTTGGGCCACGCGGTGTTGCCCGGAGGTCATGCCTGTGGAGCAGCCCCCTGCATACTCTGAGGGTCCGGAGGGCAGCACAGGTGTGGCCGCCCTTTCCCAGCCCTGGAAACTGAGGCGCGGGCGGCACGCACCCAGGCCACATGGCTCAGAGCTGCAGGTTCCTGGATGGCAGTGGGCAGGGCAGACAGCAGGGCAGCCAGGCAGAATTGCAGATCAGGAAGGCTTCCTGGAGGAGGAGACAAGCTAGCTGAATCTCGAAGGGCAGGTGGCCAGGGAGGAAGGTTCTAGGCAGAGGACAGCAGAGATGTGGGAGAGAGAAAGCTGCAGAGGCCGGCAGGGGCCTCACCGGCCTCAGTGGGTCTGGACCAAACCCTAAGGACAGCAGAGGGGCTACTGACTCAAGCCCGCTTTGTCAGGGGTAGGGGGGATGTGCATAAACATTCAGTGCATAGCAAACAGCATGCGAGCTGTATTGCAACAAAGCAGTCACAACCGTAGCACAGGGGGCAGCCGTCACCTCCACCCTTAGGCGAATGGACCCACAGATTACGGCGCATCCACGCATGGAGCGTGACACAGAATGAACAGGAACTGTGGACACACATCAACATGGCTGAATGCCGTGAAGAAGGACACTCAGCCTTGGTCCCTGGGTGCAGGGTCCTGGGATGGGTAACCCGGGTGGTGGGATGGTCGGGAGGGGCTGTGGGTTGGTGAGGGCGCAAGGGAAGTTTCTGGGGGAGATGTGTCACGCCTCATCTATGTAATGGTCGCGTCATGTGTGAACAAGTGAAAACTCAGAGAACTGGACTTCTGTCCCTGGAGCTTTGAGGGTCACAGGCTGATTTTCTCTAGGAAAATGTGAAGGACAGCGTTCAGGAGGTAGCGGCCAGGTCAGGGTGCACTTTGCAGTCTGGCGGACAAGGAAGACAAAGCCTAGAGGCCTGCGCCTGCCCTGGGCCCCGGGAGGCCAAGGGGCCAGCTGCGCGCCACGCCAGCCAGGGGGAGAAAGGGCCCACAAGAGGCAGAGCGGCTCTGGACTTGGGCCCCGCCCCAGGGTTGCTTGCAGGTCCAGTCAGAGCCCAAGTCCTCCCCTGCTACCCGCCCCCTGCAGCCCCTCGCAAGGCTGGCCTCCCCCCACCCCACAAACCCAGTCACCCGCCCCCTCCCTCCCCACCAGCCAGGCCCCCAGGGATGCCCGTGCCAGCCTGATTACACCTGCATTTTCCCAAACACAGTCACATTCACAGGCCTGGAGGTCACACCTCTGGAGGCGACCATCCCACCCACTGCAGGTGGGTCTAATTAGTGCCCCATTTCACAGATGGGCTCATGGGTGCCAAATGCCCTGCAGAGGTCACCCAGCTGGCAGGGGAGCTTCAGACCAGGCGGTGCAGGGACCCCCCTCGCGGGGACGTGTGCCTCATCCAGGCGGGGCACGAGGGGGCTGTGTGCCCTGAGGTCACCCTGGGACACTGCCCTGCCCGCCACGCAGGAGGGCGTCACACAGGCCCTGAAATGCCAGGCCCAGGAGACCCCTGACACGTCCTTCTCATGGGAGGAAGATGTGACAGGAAAAGGGCAAAGCAGCATGACAGAGGGGAGGGGTGAGCAGCCCCCGATGGGGGACAGAACTTGCTGAGACCCCGGGAAGCCTCAGAGGCTGGCCTGCACTGGCACCTCCATCGCAGAGCCGGGCTCTCCGAGGCGCCGCATGGACCAGCCCGGGTTGGGTGTCAGGGATCTGGGGGTGGGGGCCGGCAATCGGGGGGCTTCTCTCTAGGAGCCAAGAGCTGGGCTGCCGCCCACACCTCCCGAGGGAAGCCCTGCAGCCAGGCCAGAGAGCCGGGCAACCCTGTCCCCCTGCTTGCTCTGGGGACTTTCTGTTTCTTTTCCTTTTGTCCTGGAAAGTTGCCATCAGATTCCACCTTTTATCTCAGATAATTCTTCCCGAGCACTTCGGCTCCCCAGGACACCTGAGGACGGGGGTGCTGGACGCGCCTGTGGCCGCTCTGTCTGTGAAGATGAGGGTGGGCGGGGGAGGGCGGCACTGTCCCCGCTGGGGGCCCGGAGGGGACAAACCCCCACCCGCTGCTCGCAGGGCCCAGCTGGTGGGACTGTCCAGGCCCAGGAGTGACTTATCCGAGTCACACCGCGAGCTAGTGAT